CCAAAATAACAAAGAAGCCAATGCTTCAAACTGCGAACACTGTTCAGAGGAACAGGACACAGCACAGCACACTTTAGAGTTTTGTCCGACCTGGGAGCAGGAGAGAGCGGAACTGCGGAGTGAGCTGGAATGTGAAGAAGACCTAAATCCGACTACGATAGTCGGGAAAATACTGGAAAACAGGTATAAATGGAGAGCATTCACTAAATTTTGTACAAAAGTGATGCTGATGAAAGAGGAAGCTGAAAGAGAGAGAGAAAGGACGGGTGAGTGAGAGGGGATGGGGGACACAAAAAAATCCCCCTTTCACCCCCCTCAGGAGCCCCTTTCTAGAGGATGTCGTTCTCCATTCTACCCAATAAAGGGAGGATAGGGAACAGACACACACACATATACACACACACGCATGCATACATACATACACACACACACACATAGTACAAGCACGCGCACATATACACACACTCTCACACAAACACACACGCACACACACATACACGCACACACATGCATATACATACACATACATACTTACGCAAACGCACAAAAAAGAATATAGAGGGAAAAAAGGGAAGGGGGGCGGGCCCGAGGGGGTTTTTCCCCCCCTGACTCCGCTTCCATCAACCCCCTTCCACAGTCCTCTCCTTTCGGGGAGGCAGATACAAGTTTTTCACCCCCCCCTTGGAGGTTGGAGATGAACCTAACGGTCCTCTCTCCTAGATGACAAGGGAGGAGGAGGAAAGAAGGAGGTATGGGTTTTCGAGGGTGTCGGAAATCCATGCTGGGCCATGTGGCCCAGAGGTGTGTCCCCACACGGAGGACTCCGACAGGAGACACTAAGGGGCTGGGGCGAAGTATGCCTCCGGCTTTCCGCTCCAGTCCCACAATAGCATGCATGATTTTAAGAAGGAGGGGTTTTAGCGGGTAGGTCCTCGTTGTGTCCTGACAATTGGTTAGGGCATAACACAACGAGGGAATCCCGCACTCCCCCGCAGTACGGGCTGCGGGGGGTCTTTCGAAGATTTCCCCTCTTCCGAGAAAAAAAAAAAAAAAAAAAAAAAAAACGGATTACAGTGCCCTGGTTTCC